CTTCTTCCTTCTTTCACCAGCTCTGCACGATGAATTATGACCAGTAGCATAATATGTGTCCCTTGTCCGTCTGCCGAGCGCAGGACAGATACAAGCATAAGGTCCGCTCTGCTGGAATATATAGAAACACTGTCAATGTCACCAACTCCTTGGGGTATTCATCACCAGAAGGGAACACCCATGTTGCTGAATTGCTGTGGCTACCCAGTTCCAAAAACTGTGGCCTTTTTTGAGTGTGAGAAAGAAGACTATGTCGAAAAGTGGGTTCCCGCTTGTGATTCTGATTCCCTAAAAGAAATTCCTGGAAAATGTCTATGCACATTTTTAATGGCATGCACTCGACATTATATCAAGAATCAGATGTCCAAAGATCAAAGAATGAAAGAATGATCCAGAATTGCTTGGCTACTCCAAGGTAATATGTTTTTTTTGAAATAAAAAAGTAAGCTGTATATTAACAGGTACTAACAAAAACGGGAGTAACACCCACGTACAAAAGATTCACAATATAGTTAGTGACTCAATGACATTCCCAAAATTTTCATCACAAATAATGTTATGACCTAATAGGATAGACCCAAAAAAGTTCAGCCATCTATCTTTTAGCCTAGAAAAATTGCATTCCTCTCCCTTAAAAGCTCTACTATTCATTTCTTTCCAAAAAACCCAAAAAAAAAAACCGTTCAAGGGATCACATTAGCTAAATTATTTTTAACATTAAGAGCATCCCAAGCCCAAATCTCACTCATCACTGACCCAGCAATGACCCAGTTATTATTCCTTTCTACTCCAAGGTAATATGTGAAATAGTAAATCTTTGATGTTGTTTGAGTAAGGCTGAGTAAGCAACAATTTCATATTCTAAGGATCTAATGATATGAGACTAGCAGTTAGGTTCTTCCAATAACTTACGGGTAGGATTCAGTCATTTGATTTTTTTGTTGGTGAAGATGTCTTCTTGAAAGAGTCAGATTTGTAGACATATAGTGACACACTTTTAGGACAATTTATAGCAACTAATACCTAGCACTTTTTATGAGTCACTTCCTTTTTGGAATATTTTTTGTCCATGTTTATACTCTAGGCATTTTTGCCTGTTCTCTTGTTATAATCTTTAAGGAGTATTTATAACTGAAACCTGTTGAGCGATCATATTGCAATTTTGGTAAAATGTCATGATTAGGCTTCTTGTAGGCAATGTTTTGTTAGACTGAGCTTTTTTGGCTGTATCTTTGCAGCATTGATGTTATATCATCAGCCTTTGAGGGGCAGTCAGCTGTGAATAGGCAGAGAATGGTATATAAAGCCATATGGGAGGAGCTTCAGAACACCGTCCATGCGGTTGACCAGATGACTACAAGAACTCCAGCCGAAGTAGCAGCCCGAAAATGATGTGGTATTACGTGAATTTCCCAGAAGCAAAGCTCACATTTAGATGTAAGAGACTGTTTTGCAGTTCTTTTTTCTAACTTCATATATGTATGTATATACTTATGCACAAAAAGATATGTTATTGAAAGTGAAAATAAGATACGAAAAATAATAGTGAAAATATGACATGAATTTGATAAGGAACGAAAAGGTTTTCAATCTGCTTTTCATATTTTTTTCATGATTTTTCTCCAAATTTTATTGTCATTGTCAACAACTACATATGCTTTTATGTACAAATTGTATATGAATTTAGAAAG